TAGACCTGCCTGCTTTTTGGTTTTAGTTTGTAGCAGTGCTTTCCTTTCACCATTTGGTGATATTTTCTGATTATAGGAGTAAATACTTCAACAATAACCCAGGTATTGAGTACTTGTAATTGCCAGACACTTACGTTATCATTAAACTTTGCAACAGCTCTGTGAGTGGCTATTAAATAGAGCTCTTTCCGTTGCCAGGGCAGACATACAACTCACACTAACTTAAGCAAAAAAGAGTATTATGAAGAGTAGGAGCGGGACAGCTTGTCAGATATTGTTATCAAGAATCTTCTTCTCAATTTCTACAGTTTCTTGCCTTTTGCACGTAGGTGTTCACACTGGAAAGCACTGCTCAGGCAGCTTCAGGTTTACTTCATTACAGCTGAGCCACTCCTTTCCTCCACGTTTCAGGAACAGGACTTTAATTGGTGTTCCTTGTCACAGCCCATTTCTGGACTAATCATCACGGTCAGAAGGGATGAGGTACTTTTGGCTGGCCAGGACTGGATCATATGCCCATCCCTTTGACAGGCAACTTGACCAAAGTCATATAGAATATAGGTGTTAGGGCTGGATTTCTGGATTTCCCAAAGGGAAGGAAAGAATGTTGGGTGGATAGCCATTGTGGCACTTTCTAGATGAGGTAAATGAGATGTAGGAGTGTAAAGAGACTCATCAAAAGTCACAGAGCTTATAGCGTATCTGACCCACAGTTTGGCTTCGGGATTCTCATTATTCTGCAGAGCTACTGCCTGTTACCTTTATCCCTTTCTTTTTTTTTGGGGGGGGAGAGGTTTTTGATACAGAGTGCATACGCTCGCCAGCCAGACAGAGAGAGACAGAGAGACAGAAAGCAAGAAATCACCCCCCAGAGGGGATGGTCATGCTGCAATCCCTTCTCCTCCATTCTCCTCTCGGAATCTTGGGCACGCACGCACATGCGCCCGGCGTGAGTTTTAAGCCACTGGGTCTGGGACATGAACCGCGGTCGACTACATGGGAGTCCAGCGACAGCCATTATGCTAACTGCTGGTCCCCCTTTACTCCTTTCTTAACAGGACGTATTTTCCTAATTCTTTTCACTTTTTTATGGAAAGATAAATTAACTAGAGAAGAGAATTAAGTAAAATACCATCCTCTCTCAGTTTTCGGTTGAGAAATAATGAGGAACAGAGCATACGTGAAGCCTAAACTTGACAGGAGAGCATTGTCTTGTCGGAGACTACATGTTTGGTGAGGAGGGCATGTGGCGGGGGGATGCAACTCACCAGTAGTTACCAAACCACAACAGGGGAAGGAGATACCCTATGTGTCCTTCTCTCCTGTTATATCTCATTACTGGTGTCACTTTACTTTTTTACTATTTACTGTGGCAAAAATATACAGCTGTTTAGCACCGTATATGTTAAATAGGCTCTTGTGAACTGGCCTAAGGGCCTCATTACTGTTACAAGACAGTTTCTGTGGTGTAATAAACTTAGGGGATGCAATCATTAGGTAAGTTAGAGATTATTTGTGATCAGTTATTTTAAAAAACTCAGTATTTTCATTCTTTGAGGTATGGAGATGTTCTGGTAATAGGAAAGGATGAATCAGGAAATCCATATAGAAGGAAATGAAGGGTGTCAGAGACAAAACTCCTTGCTCTGTGTTTTATTCAAGGCTTTAAAGGTAAAATCATCCTGGCTCCTTAAAAATCACTTCAGGGCCCCAGCAGATGGCATAATGGTTATGTCGCTGGATTCCCATGCAGTTAATCACAGTTCGAGTTCTGGACCTGGCAGCTTAAAACTCACACTGGGCGTGTGTATGCGCATGCGTGTCCAAAATCTTGAGAGGAGAATGGAGGAGAAGGGATTGCAGTGTGGCCATCCCTCCTGGGGAGTGATTTCTCGCTTTCTGTCTCTGTCTTTCTGGTGAGCATATCTACCTTACAGCAAAAATCTCTGTCTAAAAAAAAAAATCATTTCGGATTTTTCCTTAGTTTATCATTAAAAATTGTCATCACCTGACACCTTGCATGTTAATATTTTCTCATTTAAGGAAACAAAATGAGTCTTTTATTCATGGGGTAAATTACTCATGTTTTAGATCTTCACTATTGGAGAGTAATTAAAAGTTGGCCATATAAGAGAAAAATAAGCAATAAGAATAAGAAATAAGAGTCTTAGTATCAGTTATTAGTACAATAGTTTGCTGCATATGGTAGACTCCCAGCATGCCTGAGCTCTCTTCCTGTTACCTATAGTCCCACTGATGGCAAAGTCTTTTACTTTCACTGTATTTCCTGTTACACATATTTGATAATAGTAAAATCCATAAGGTCTGCACATTGATAATGTCAAACTTTTTTATCTAACATTTACAAGTGTAAACACCTCATTTTGGAGAATGGAATTCAGCGTAGAAGGTTCTATTTCAGAAGCTATATATTTTTTATACTTACCAACTTGAATAGTCAGTTAGGGATGATGTGTCCTATTGGAGGACTTTTCTGCACACAGGAAAGCTAGTCACTGTGCAAATGTGGCTATAAGGGCTAAGCAGAATTCTGTGTGTAGTGGTACAACTGTTGAGTGAAAATTATATCATATGTAACATAAATACTATTATACATCAATTTATGAGTACTTTGATACACACACACACACACACACACAGTTGTCATTTGGCATGCTATAAAATACAGTTTTGCGTATTACCTTGTTTTGGATACCATTGTTTCAAGTACATTCCCAGTAGCTATATTGCAAATTCTAGGCAGGCCAGGACCTTGTCTTTGACATCAGCACCTGTGGAGTAGAAAGCTAGTTCTACACTAGCTATTATTGTTGAGGGGAAGGTCATTGCTTTTACTCATTGAGTTTGGAACAACAGGCCAGTTAGTGCTTAATTGATGATATATAAAATCTCTTTGACAGTTTA